AATTTAACCATGTCACACAAAACTTTATTAAAATAGAATTCGGCATAAACAGTCATAGACAGTGGCGGAGCCACGTTCAAGTGTGGGTGGGCTGAAGCCCACCCTGGTTTATGTTTTTTATGGAATTTTTTAATGCTAAAATATGTTTAGTTATCATTTTTATACACTATTTTAATCCTAATCCATTTTAATTAGCCCACCCAATAGATTTGTAATATAGTTTAAAGAGCTCTAATAATTATATTATGGATAATATACAATTTAATATAAATAATTTAATTAAAACATAAAAATTTCTATTTATTTTGCTCTATATTTTTGAAAAAAAAATTCAGGGATTCTACCTCCGAACCCCGTAAAATTTTAGCCCACCCTCACCGTAAATCCTGGCTCCGCCGTTGGTCATAGATTACCGTATTTAAAGGTAGCAATCCTCAAAATTTTATGAATTTTGGCATTTATGTATTGAGATTTAGGGTACTTTTCAACTTAGACTTGCCAAAACGACGTGCAAATATATCTTTCATGAAAGAATTTTGTTTTAAAATTTGCCTATTTCAATCTAACTCTTTGTTTTGATGATCTGAAATAAAATAACATAGTGTAATATAGATAGCAACATAAAGAGAGAATTAATAATGAAAGACATGCCGTGCACCTCGTGTTATAAATTAAATAGTCTTTATTGATCAAACAAAAGAGTCTTTTAAAAAATAATAGATGCGAAAGTTTCACCGGAAAAATCCATAGAATTAATATATAACTAGTTCTACACTCTTGCGATGCACGGTGAACACATATTTCTAATTAATGGTAAACACATATTTTAAATTGATGGTTCAAAACACATGAGTTATATTTGTATATATTCAAGTCCATACAATCATGTTTTCTAAAAAAATAATAGAAAATTTAATAGGCTCTTTAATCACTTAGTACCATATATATTAACGACTTTTAGAGTATCATATGCCGTTGTTAGCACAACATATAACTGTGTAACGTCATCAGACTTATGTAGGAGAGTGTTTGGCTACAATATACAAAAAATCAATTTCCGAAAAAATCGATTTTTAGAGATATACACTATTCGAAAAGAAGTGAATGTACGATTGAACTATCTGATATTGGCCAGACTTAAGCCAGACTTAAGCCACTGGGTTGTTTCCCCTTCTTCCGCTTCACTTGCACGTCTTTGTTGTTCCCAAGTAGATTCAATGTGGAACTTGCAAGTCTAAATGACGCCTTGAGACATAATTCTACATCCGATACTATGATACTATGATACTGAAAAAATGATAAAAAAATTACAAATGAGACATAAGCATGGTAGATATAGTTTGTGAGTAACAGGTTGACGGTGCCCAAAATATCCTACATAAGCACGTCCATATGTAAATTGGAAGAAAAGAAAAAAGGGAAATTCATTGGCCAAGTCCAATTTCATGCATACCAAAAGGCCCGTATGGTTCTGGCAGAGTTTACCATTCAGCACTTATAAATAGGTTGACAATTGACTTATTTTAATGGACGAATTTTGATTAATAAATTGAGATTATTCTATCTAGTTCTCTAAGAACTCTTCGATCATATCGGAGGATTCCGCGCGTTCACCCCGACTTATTAATCAATCTTTCGCAATTGATTGTTGGCGTCTTCACATACCAAGGCTTTGATACCAACTTGATACGAACTCTGTAGAACTTTTCGTAATTTAACCTAAGTTTAGAGAGATTTTCATAATTTACCCTAAACAATATGAAGAAGCTCCATAGTATAAATTGCGGTTCAAATTCAAAACACAAAACCGGACGTATGCAAGAAAAGCATTAATTGAAATTAATTAGGGCATAACAATTAGGTTTAAATATTAAAATCAAAACACATTAGTTATTGATTATTCCCTGTAATTTTTGACAAGAAAGATGAAAAAGAAAATATTAAATTTAATTTCAAGATACAGATTATATATATATATATATATATATATATATATATATATATATATATATATATATATATATATATATATATATATATATATATATATATATATAAATCCACACACATATGAAGCTCTCTTTTTGTTGATTTTTATGCATGAGTACAAGTAAGATAAGGATTTATTTTTCGAATAACGTAATTATGTTACAGATTTGATGAAATTGGATTGTTAAAAAAAATTACCAAGAAAAAGGTTACCAATTTTTTTGTGGATTACATAAATTGATATCATGAATCTTTATAATAAATGAATAATCCCAGCAAGATCGGTATCGGACATGAAAGTTTCTCGATTACCACTTAGCCTTCCCCTTCCTTTATTTTCTAATCTGTTGGACCCATAGTTAAGTCAGCCTCCCCCGGAATGTGTTGCGAATGCTAAGTGATGGAGAACTTGTAAATAACTTAAAAAAAGAGAGTTTTGTAGGAAAATACTTATATGGCTTACAATTGCTTGAATTTCTTAGATGGTTACAAATGATGTCGCTACTCCTATTAATACCAGGCCACCTTCACAATGAATGGTGGATATCTATTTGATTTGCAGACTAGGAGTTGTTCACTAGAACACTCCAAAGAATTCCTACAAAATATCTATAAAAGGAGAGTTCTAGAATCCTCTAAGAATCTTTGCGAAACCTATTTACATTTGGGTTACATTGAGCCTAACTCTTCTTGGACTAAGTCTTGGGATCTTTTATTGGACTTAACTCTTCATGGTTTGGAACTGAAAGAAAAGGAAAACGGAAATTCGTTGACCAAGTCAAATTTCATGTATCCCGAAAGTCCCGTATGATTATGATAGAGTTACGTTTATCATTCAACTTATAACTCTCTCATATGATGTCCAAATAAGGTGATTCAAATTGCCGAGGAAAGAAAACTGAAAGTTCAACAACTTTCATGTTTTGAGCGGAGAGCGATTCAAAGTGGAAAAGGGTCTTAATCGAGCTTGAAGTGCATGCACATGCACAACCCAATGTCTACGCGAGTTAAGAAGGCCGAAGGGTGGCCGAAAAGTCGACTTGAAGTTCAAGTTAGTTAATTTAGTTATGCACGTATTTATTTAGGATTTATTATGTTTTTATTATTTTAGGGTTCTTTATGGTTATGATTTGTTTATTTATTAGTTTACTTATTATAGTTTAGGCATGAGTCATTTTCCTTGTTAAAAATAAGTTATTTTAGCACTTATAAATAGGTTGTCAATTTGGCTTATTTTAATGGACGAATTTTGATTAATAGATTGAGATTATTCTCTCTAGTTCTTTAAGAAATCTTCGAGCATATCGGAGGATTCCGTGCGTTCACCCCGACTAATCAATCAATCTTTCGCAATTGATTGTAGTGTCTTCACATACCAAGGTTCTTGGGTAAAGTATTTGAGCCTCGTAACAAGTTATGCGGTGTTCGTATCAGTTGGTATCAAAGCCAACATTAAATAACCAAGACAGCTGACTTTACCAAACTTCATAAGAAACGTGGGAATGTTAGGAGTAGACCAAATAGATCCGGTTACAACACAAAATCAAATTTAACCAAAAAAAAAACAAAACCTCTCTCTCTCCCTCCTTTTTTTTTCTTATAAATGCGTAACTGCAAAACAAAAATTACATAATGCATGATGAAATAAACGCGAGTGAAAGAGAAAAAAAGTGAAGGGGATGCATGCAACTGTATGGGATATATCTTCACATTAACAATAAACGCAATCCCTGAAAACCCAACTTCCAAAGCAGCCAAAATATTTATTAATCCCAATTCAAACACAAAGATTGTTCTTATTTGGTAGCATACACAAACGTCCAATAGTAGCTGTTTCCCAAGAATAAGAGTTCTTTTTTTAAGTATGTACGATCTTTATTATAAAGAAAATAAAGAGAGACAAATAATATTGGTCGTGCAATATGTAGTTCACTGGGCTTTGTAATTGAACTGTGTAACGAGCTTTCGACCAAGAGACTCCGGAACCAGTTGGTTATGAGGGCACTAGGTTTGTAAAACAGCTTGACAGTCTTACTGACTCGACTCGACTAGGATTCGAACTTAACACTAGCCAATTTGAGATTAACTGATATGTATATATATATATATATATATATATATATATATATATATATATATATATATATATATAAAACAATTCAAGAGTAGCTTTCTCTTACTGAAAGATGTAACTTTTTCCTATATAAACATCCAATCATAATAGGAATTTTCGGAAAAATAAATAAGTTGGAGCCCTTTTAGTAATTTTTTTGGGAATTGGTGAATTTTTTTACCCCACAAAGTTAAGAAGTACATGAAGTATCAAATTCACATTTGCCACAATCATGTGTTGTATGATTAATGCATGTCCTATATGAGATACAAAAACATATGAAGTCGTCTGGACATACAGACTGTTGAAACAGTGCATGCAACTGTATCAGATTAAACAGCATAAATACCTAATGATTTTCGCAAGGAATCAAATCTCTGTGCATCATGGATTTTTGGAAAAGCATCACTTAATTCATTCCCTATTGCAACATAATCTATTGAAACAATTCCCTTTTCAGCCAAGTCACTCATGAAGCGATAACAAATATCAGTAAGCTTAGTTCTAGAATGGTGAATTAGATCTATAAATTTATTTTTCGTGCTCAAATTATTAAAATCCAGACTACCAAGTTTTCTATGCTCCAAACTAGCGTTGTCAACAGAACTGTTGGAACAGTTAGCACTAATATCACATGATTTTATTATTAATAATATCCATTATTATATGATATTAATATGTATTAAAAAATATAATAAAAGGTAAAGCTCGCGAGCTGTCGAACAACTGAAATGAAGCTCGAGTTCGGCTCGTCGAAAAGCTCGGGCTCGCTAGCTCGAGCTCAAGTACGTACGAAGTTTTTTCGAGCAAGCTCCAGAAGCTCGCGAGTCGGCTCGACTCGTTTACACCCCTATTTGTAACCCTTAATTACAATGGGCGTACCACGCCAAATTCGAGATTGAGAATAACCATCAATATAATTAGTAATTTGATTATTCCAACTAAATTTAGTATTGTACATGTAACGATTGTCTAAGGAATTTTAGGCAAGCCCAAAAAGCCTTAATGGCTCTCTCTAAAACCCTTTTTCAATATCTTTCTCATTTAATTTGTCCAACTCAAATGGGCTTAGAGAAATTGTCTTGACAATCTTTTGGTTGTACTCCCGAGCAAGAGATGGTATGGGGAGGCTATTCCCTTTGTAGAGACTTGTACTTCTCATATTTGTTGAGTCTTCTTCATTAAAATCTTGCATTTTGAAGAGGTGGGCCGACCCTTCTTCTTCCATTTTCTCCTCACAATTAGACTCATTTTTGTACATCATATACAATATCAATTGGGCTGACCCTAACAACAATCCAATCCCATTTGGTACCTTCACATAAAAAAAATATTAGCAAAATAAATTAATGTGGAATTTAAGAAGAAAAAATTAAGGGGAAAATTTGTAGTTAGATAAAATTTACCCCAATGTAGTAATCTTTAATAAGTACGGCGTAGGCAGACCACACCGCCCCGTTCAGGAATTGGAAAAACGATAGGAAGAACGGCATATACTTTACGCTTTTCATCTTAATCACCGTTCTCTATCAACAAAAATAGCTACATTTATTTAGAAAAGGAAATACGAAAAATGGGATAGATGAATTCAATAATGCATTTTAATTCAACGATTAGGATTTTATAAAAGAATTATGAACATAATTTTTTTTTAAATATTACTCCATAATAAGTGAATTGTGTAAAAGAAAAACAAAATGTTGTTTTAAATCGCGAAAAAAAAAAAATATCTTCGTGTTATTAATAGTTGCAAAACATTTCCCTATAATGCACTGTTTTAGCACACAACTCACTAAATGGTATATCTTGAAAAGAATGTTCGCTAAAAATATTGTACTAATAAAAATCACACTAGAAGTTCTGCAAGAATTAAATTAAACACAGAGGCGCGAATCCGTTAAATCCTGAAATATTAAATCCGTCACAAAACTCAATTTAAAAAAAAAAACATTCATATGTATTAATTTCAAAATTACTTTGCGAAAAATTAAACGATAATGTGAAATTCTTGTATCGAAATAAAACTAGTTAAAACTAATTTATTTCATGATGTGATTAATGAAATGAAATATTGATATAAATTGATGATGAGGGTGCATGAGAGTAATGGTGGGTACCATGGCAGAGAGAGGAGCAGCGTACATGCCAATAGTTATGACAGCACATAAAACTCCAACAAGTGTAAGGCGGATACCACCTCGTAAACCCACCATTGTCACAATTATTACACCACCAAGAAAACCAACATTCACTATTCCCACTAACTTCACTGATTTTACCTACATCCACACACAAGTATATATTTCCCAATTTAGACTTCAATAATTGAACCGGGGAAAAAGATAAACTTCCAAGTATATATGCAATTCAATTAGGCCTCGTTTGCTTATCTATATATTGGATTATTTTAGATTAAATTTCCACCTGATTGATTAATTATTTTGTCGATAGTATGTTTGGTTCATATATTACATCATGTATTATATGTGGATTCATTATAAAGTCCTTATTTAACAAAATTAAGTTATTTTTGTAAGGATGAAATTTTATTAATCGAAGGGGGTGGAGGTGCTACTAGTTTAACAAAATAGTAGCGTGTGATTCTGGGATTTTATATTAATAGTGGACTTGAATAATTTTGAATTTTACCAACCAAAAATCGTATTAACTTCTACAAGATAGTCAATCCAACCTAATACTAGAAAGCAAACGAGGCCTTAGGAAATATAATTATAATTTACCGTCTCTAGCAATAACATTAACTTTTTCGACTTATCGTGAACAAAAAATTGTGCCGTATGAGTCATGTCAAAGGTTCTTTATTCTTGCGAATGGGTACAATGGTAGTGTAATAGTCTTTGTTTCAAAATAAGTGTCATTTAAAATTTATGCACACCAATTTTAAAAACTATTAGATACTCTTGATTTTAGGAAAGAACAATTTGTATTTCACAAAATTACCCCTTCTGTGACTTTAAATCTTTCTTTATCACTCTATCGATCTGTTATTAATGGTTGGATAAAATTGAACTAAAAAAGTGTCATGTCTTGAAACACTAAAGCGACACTTAATATGAAAAAAAATATTATGGCAAAACCTTTATAATTGCAAATTTTAAATTTATATATTTGAATTGAGTTATTGATAGTATTAAATTAACAATTAGTTAAATTGTATACTTAGACAATTATATTAAAAAAAAAAAGAAAAAAGAAAAAAAAAAGGATAAGATGAATGTATGGTGGCTGACCTTGGTGTGTTTGGGGGAATAAATGAGAAAGAGAATAACATAGAGAAGGTTGAAGCCGGCTCCAACACCATTCACAGTCACAACTAACAAACCGTATTAAACAAATTGATTGCAACGTCCACAAACTTGTGCTCAACAAGTTTTTTTTTTCTTCTTTTCTTTTCATTTTAAATTTTAATCATACAGAAATTTATAATTAAATACTTATATGCTAAATCCCACACCAATTTTACCAAATCATACACACAATTGAAAAAATTTCTCTCTTTAAAATCTCATCTTCTCCTTTCCCATTCTTCTTTTTTTTCCCTAACTTTTTTCACAAAATCACACACTAAAAATGTCCATATCATTCCAAGTTCGAATTTGAGAAAAATCTTCATGTGTTCAAACTAAAATAAAGTTGGAATTTGAGAAAAAAATTCGAATTGATATGAATTTAAATAATTAAAAAGGCATAATGAAACTGAAAAATATTAAATAAACATAAACTCATTTTTTATGATTATTCACGTGTAAGATTAACGAATTTTGAGTGACTTGGAAAAATTCATCATAGAAAAAAGTTAGAGAGGGATTTAGTAAATTTTAGTGTAGAATTTAGCATGCCCCGTTCCCTAATTAAATATCATATATTACCAGCAAATAAAACGTGTATAATATATTCAAAGAATCAAGTCCAACGTACAATTCACAAACTGGTTTAAGAAAGAATTAACAAGAAAACTCACTTGCTTTTGGTTCTCATTTTCTTTTTTCTTTGCTAATTAAATGTGAAGCCACAAATATTATCCTCTCTCATAAAATTCCTCCCTATTTTACTCATCACCGAACTCGGCCTCTTATTCCTATAGTTAACGGCGTTAATTATCGGAGGGCAAAAATGGAATTTCGTGCAAAGAACACAGCGAGAAAGTTACTTTAATAAAATCAACAAAGAATCTTGGGTGGATTACAAAAGGAACCCTGTATTATTTCGAGTATTCAAAAAGTTCCCCATATTTTTAATAATAGCAAAATTAAATTGGTCTTGCTATATATTTATATTTAACAACGACTCTTAAATACTGAGTTTTATGGGTGGTTTTGCTATTAAAAAATATAAATTCCATACTTACATTGGAGAGGCGAACATAAGTATAGAAATCACATTTCCTGCAGCAATAGGACGACTCATTTTTAATTGTTCTTTGTTTAAAATGTAACAATACAAAAAATAAAGATAAAAATAAAAATAATAAAATAATGACATATGATTACCGATAATTCCAATGATGAAGCTCAAGCTAGCCATAGAGAAGATGAGAAGAGAAGAAATATATGTTATATATATCAAATTTTATTATAGAGATATTTATATGAGGAAAAAAGCATGTAAATAATTGATAGGTGTGGTATGTGGTGGTAGCCTAAAGAAAAGTTGGCACTGCTTTAACTGATTTTGTACTCATTTATAGATATCGAGATCCCGTTATCTTCAGCTCAATGTTGCCACGTTCATATATATCTATCTAGTAAATCATTCTGTCTTTCCGGTTACGTTTTCGATCACACATACTTTGTGACCGTAAACGTGTTTTTTTTTTCTTTTCTAAAAAAGAAAAAGAGAAAGCATGGCACTTCAATAAACGTGTCTCGACTCATTGTCATGTGGGCTTTATCGTTTAGGTATGTGTCGATGCACTTCGATACACTGTTCCAATATAAATGCACGATGATGATTAATGCTGAAAATTGGGCGGAAACGAATTATAATAATAGCCCCCTTGACAAAAGTTTATTGGCTCCAATTTCGGAAAGATTGAAGTATTTCGGAAATTTTCGGTAATTTTATCAAATTTACAATTTTTGGATATTTGCGGATTTATGTTTCGGTAATATTACTGTCTCGCATCTAATATGTTCAGTTAAGGCATCCTGGGTCATTTGAGTCGATTGGGTATATGTCGAAAATCGAATTAAAAATTGAATTTATTATAATAGGGAAGTTCATTCACGGAGTTTTGTCAAATAACCCATTTATTTTATCCCCTTAAGTTTTGTCAAATAACCCATTTATTTTATCCCCTTAGGCCCCGTTTGGTTGCCAAGATAAGCCATGATTAACTAAATAGTTGAACTTAATTTGATGTTTGATATCCTCAATAAATTGTCGGGTCGACCCGCCAAAATTATATAACCATGGCTTATCTTGGCTTATCTTGCCTTCTAATAAGTTTTTTTTTTTTTTTTTTTTTTTTTGACGTTTCAAGCTCCAATAAAAATATTATTACCATAAAAAGAATTTTTTTTTTTAAGGAATAACCAAATTTTATAATTTTTCTATTAAGTTTTCACCGATACTTCAAATTGATTAACTATTGAATTATAAATCTTTGTCTCTACAACTTAAAACAACCAACAAATTTTAAAATTATTTAGACTGAGTATATAATTTAATATAAGTGATATTTGTATCCAAAATTCTTTATTATTGCATGTACGTGAAAACCCCTCAATGTGCCCAAAATATTATGTCCAAATGTTCGCCACATCCAACACTTCAATTCCCCGAAAAATGCATCCAAGCAAGCTACCCGAATTCCTCTAGAAACAGAAAACAACAACGGTTGTTTTAAGATCCTAACAGTATTGAGAGAATACCGATTATGATCTTCACCATTAAAAACGTATAATAAAAATTGAGGTCGATCCGACGGTTAGGTATTGCGGGATGACATCTGTACGAGAACTATTACTTCTCCAAAAAATTGTACGAAACCCAACCCAACACTAATCACTGTAATTATAATATCGTAAAGTTTATCTAATGATGGAATTGTGATGGTAGAACTATTGAATATAACCAAAGTAATGAACCAAACGACAATTGTCCAAGTAATCACAAATTCGATTTCAAATCAAAGTTGCACATTAGATTTTCATTTTCATTTTCTTTTTCATGTCTCTCAAGGAAAATAACAAGATAGTAATAATTATATATTAATATACCTAAAAAATTGGCTCATGAGGTAAAATTGATTTTTGTTTAAAATATCCACAAATAAGTTGTATGTAAATATTGCCCCAATCAATATTTGTTGGACCATCTGATGCAATAAGGACATTCATACTAGGGGTGGTAAACGAGCCGAGCCGACTCGTAAGCTCGACGAGCCGGCTCGTAAAAAGCTCGAACTCGGACTCGAGGTTTTCGAGCTCGCGAGCTCGAGCTTCCAGGCGAGCCGAGCTCGAGCCGGATTTTAGTTGTTCATCAGCTCGCGAGCCGGCTCGCGAGCCGGATTAATTATTTTTTTTTTATTTTTTATATGTTATTTTTATTTAAATAATGTATAATAATATAAAATATTATAGAAATAAATACAAATATTAAAAAAAATACATAATCACAATTTAGTTTTTATTTTGTATTTTTTAAAAATAATTTTTAATATTAAAATAATAATTAAAAAATAATTAAAAAATATTTAAAAAAAAAAAAAAAAAAAAAATTGGGCTCGAGCTCGACAAAATTAACACGAGCTCGAGCTCGAGCAAAAAAAAGAAGAACTCGACGAGCTCGAGCTCGAGCTCGAGCTCGACAAAATAGACTCGAGCTCGAGCTCGAGCCAGCCAAAAGAGGCGAGCTCGGCTCGTTCACACCCCTAATTCATACTTTATATAAGACAAAGGCGGGTAGAATCCCATGTGGTTTGCTATTTGAAAATGAGATTTAGGGAATGGTAGCTTTCAAACTTTTGGAAGAAGCTTCAATGTGAAATAAAATTCGAGTTTATTATCAAAAAAAAAAAAAAAAAAACGAGACACGCAAGTGAACGAAATTCTCTATAGTAGATACTGTCGGTTGGATCTTCCATGAATATTTTCGTGTTACTTCGATGTACACTGCTTTTTCCTTTTTTAGCAAAGGGGTTTGCATAATTATATTATAGAGATGCTAATTTATTATTAATAGATATTTTATCAATATTGTTTTTGTGCTCGATTTTTTTTCTAGTGAATACCTATCGCCATTTTCAACCCCATTACGTTCTCTTACTGGAATTACGAGCACTGCACTCCCGACTTTTATGTTTCAACTACATTTCACTCCCCACTCTTAATAAAATGTTCACAATATATTTCGCTTTAATTCAAATTATATCAACCCTTCTTTTTCTTTAAAAAAAATCGTTTTTCTACCCAAAACAACATTTTTTTCGACAAATGTTTTTGCAACCATTTTTTCGGCAAAAAGACTTCCCGACCTTCTTATTTCCTTCTTTTTTTATTTTTTTTTATAATTTTTTTGTCCGCCAAAATATTTTTTCTCCATTAGCTACCATCAATTTTAAGCTCTTTAATACAAGAACACAAAACTAACAACTTGAATGGATTCTTAGAGTGCAATAATAGCCACAATTGTACTAACCCATCTCGTACTTTTGGGTCCATCAGCGAGCATTTTGCTCGTACTCTGCCATTTTCGTCTTGTACATATGTGTTATTTCCGGCACCAGAGGATAATCGAGATTTGGATCAGTCAAAAGAAAATAAATCGAGAGCAACATCTAAAAGTAGGGGTAGGAAAAAAATCCCAATTACCGAGTACTGCGACATACAACTGAAGATTGCCTAAAAAAATACCAAAGTACTGGTTATCATTTCATTCGGTGCGATATTGGTACCGTATCGCATATGGTTGGTACAGTAATGGTATTGCATTCTCAATACCATAGTAATACTGTACCGTACCATGTGATGGGATTCGTTTGGCCACCATAAAAACGTGCTCTATCTCTTGAACTTTTATGTGTATTTATATGCTTGTATTCTTCGGTTCTTGTGTGTGTGGGGTGCGTGTGTTTCTCTATCACCTATTTTTTCTGCCTCCTTTTCACATAGTCTCTTCCTCTCTTTTATCCTCTCCATTCAGCCTTGGAACGCGTGCCATGGAGATAAGGAGACAGATGGGCCAGGAAGTTAATGGGCCGGTGGATTGATGGACTTGAGAGAGAGAAGAGGGGCTAATCTTGGGCCTATTCCGAGAAGAGAGGGGTTTATGGTAGGCTTTTAGGACTGGGGAAATCTGCCCCGATCATCTACTCCCCTCAATTCGTCATGAGGAGTGCGGAGCAACTAGTCGTGGCGAACTACTCTCTCGAGATGCGGTTGACGAGGTGAAGAGGCGCGAAGTAACTAGTCACCTCGAGTTTGGTTTTCTCTCTTTTTCTTTTGGAACGAGATGTCGTTCTTCGCTCTATGAACAAATTACCGGTTACTTTAGTTCTTTCCTAATGCCATGTTTTTCTTTTCACTCTGTATTTTACGATGTACCCTCCTTTTTTGGATGTGAGATACCTCGTTTTACTCCTCTTTTGGACGCGAGATACATCGTCTTACTTCGGATGCGAGATACCTCGTCTTACTCATCTTTCGGATGTGAGATACATCGTCTTACTTCGGATGCGAGATACCTCGTCTTACTTCAGATGCGAGATACCTCGTCTTACTCGTCTTACGGATGTGAGATACCTCGTCTTACTCATCTTTCGGATGTGAGATACCTCGTCTTACTTCGGATGCGAGATACCTCGTCTTACTCATCTTTCGGATGTAAGATACCTCGTCTTACTTCGGATGCGAGATACCTCGTCTTACTTCGGATGTGAGATACCTCGTCTTACTCATCTTTTGGATGTGAGATACCTCGTCTTACTTCGAATGCGAGATACCTCGTCTTACTTCGGATGCGAGATGCCACGTCTTACTCATCTTTCGGATGCGAGATACCCCGTCTTACTCCTCTTTCGGATGCGAGATACCTCGTCTTACTTCGGATGCGAGATACCTCGTCTTACTCATCTTTCGGATGTGAGATACCTCGTCTTACTCCTCTTTCGGATGCGAGATACCTCGTCTTACTTCGGATGCGAGATACCTCGTCTTGGTCATCTTTCGGATGTGAGATACCTCGTCTTACTCCTCTTTCGGATGCGAGATACCTCATGGTGCGACAGGGTCCGGGCACAACGGGGCTCTCACTCTCCCCGGCGCCCCTTTCCAGGGGACTTGATAATAATGCCAGTAGAAGACACACATATTTCCTATATCGTTTTGATGACAAATTCAATAAACCCTATGGTCTTCCAACGAAAAGCCCCAAAGAACCGCACGGCAAACAAAGTCAATTAAGCAAAACCCCAAAATTATTTGACCAAATTTCACCAAACAATAGCAGACAAGGAAAAAATCGGAAATATGCGATAAAAGAGAAAAGACAGTTTAAATTCTGAGAAACTTCCCTTTGTTCAGATTTCTTTCTGTCGAGTCAAATCTACTCACGTCTTAACCTCAATATTTCCCACAGACGGCGCCATTTGACGGGGTTCGTTTGGTCACCATAGAAACGTGCTCTATCTCTTGAACTTTTATGTGTATTTATATGCTTGTATTCTTCGGTTTTTGTGTGTGTGGGGGTGCGTGTGTTTTTTTCTCTATCACCTTTTTTTTTCCGCCTCCTTTTCACATAGCCTCCTCCTCTCTTTTATCCTCTCCATTCAGCCTTGAAATGCGTGCCATGGAGATAAAGAGAGAGATGGGCCAGGAAGTTAATGGACCGGTGGATTGATGGACTTGAGAGAGAGAAGAGGGGCTGATCTTGGGCCTATTCCGAAAAGAGAGGGGTTTATAGTGGGCTTTTAGCACTGGGGAAAACAGCCCCGATCACATGCCTACTATTCTAGAATATTTTATAATTGTTATTTTTATAATTTTTCATTATTTTCTATAACATAATATTTATCAATTTATTCAAAAAATTATTTCAAATACTTTATTTTATTACGTGTAAGTTTCTTAAGGCTAACATATATTATATTTATTATTATACAAAGAATTATAAATTACTTAAATACATATATACTGTGATTTTCATGAATGAGCTAATTTTATTTCAGAATTTGCCCAGTGCGTTGCACGACGAATAATAATAAAATTTTAAAATAAACACATGTAAATATATGTTAAAAAAAAAAATATGACCAAAATTAATAAATGTCATGTGCAAAACCAATATAATAGAAAAAATAAAATGTAAAAATTTCACTAATTGCAATTATAATGTATATATCTATTTTAGACATAAAATTTAGTAGACATATGTCTATATACTGAAATGAGAAGAGCGACCGACTTACTATTCTTTGCGGCGAATTTTAACAATAGATGTTGATCTACAGTAGGAAAATGCAATATATATGAAGATAACATTTCAGATAAATTATGAAGACAAAATAAATATTTGTTAAATGCAAATATCGTATAAAGCAATTAATGGATTTGTAAGAGAACGATGTTGGATATAACATTTCGATAATTAGTAAAACTTATATTTATGGATATAATAGTAAAAATGTAAATGAATAGGAATTTGCTATATGCATCTCAGAATTCGCATCGACTTTAGTCGCCAACTTCTCAAGAACCATTTGAGAATTCTGAGATGTAGAAATTCCGTGAGAAATTTCAGGCAACCGTGAAAGTGGCCAAGAAATATAAAGAAGAGAAAATCCAGTTATTTGAGTGGAAACGTGAGAGTTAATTATTTCAGATGTAGAAACATGGGAATTTATTAGAACGTGCGAGAAGTTACGGAACTGAACTACATGATACAATTACCTTAAACTGAAACGGCCGTTTGAAGCTTTCGAGAAGAAAAAAAGAATGGAGCGAAGAAGAATGGGAAGGCAGTTTCAAAATCGTGGGAATTTTTTTTATTTATTATTTTTTTATTTACGGTTTTTACGTGCTAAATTAACGGTTATGTAAAATCACTTACCTAAATATGTGCTTATAAAACGGAAGAATAATTATAGGATTGAATGACATTTTGTTTTCCAAAAATGCCCCTAGGGTTACAAAATTTCACAAAATAGGTCTAGGATTTCGGGGCAAACCTTTCTTTTATATATAAAGATATATTAATAGTTCATACTTGGGCTTAATAGCCTCATGGGCCGGATCTTTTGGGGCTTGGGGTTTCGTGAGCCTAGGCCCATTTACTTTATAATTTGGGCCCCTGGCAAATTAACCCAGATCAATATGAAAGAGAAGTTGTTGTCGTATTTTCTGTTATGGAAGGCTCGGCCGATTTACAAGAGAAAATATTTCATTAGAGTTTCTTAAGTTTCCAATTTTGAAATTCAGTCATTTAATTAATTTAAGAATTTATTCAATTGTATTTCAATATTGTGTAAAATTCAGCTACTGAAGTATATTTTTTTGTCAATATTGTAGGACATCATACAAGGTAATATAAGAAGTAATTATCGTTTTCCAAAGTTCCATCAATTATTAACTTTATTAATTATCAAAATATAATTTAAAATGTTTATACTAGAGTGAAATGATTTTGTTCAAAGGTCCTGAAATTGTTATTAATTAACATCTAATTAAAAGTTTTTAAATTTACTTTCGATTAATTCAGTCTAAAAAATACTTATTAAATTTTTAATATTTCCTTCGAATGAAAACCATCTTAATTAATTTAGATCAAGGTAACTAATTTTATTGTCCCGTGTAACGCACAGGTTATAATTATTAGTACTTATCAAAATTTAGATAAATTGGTTATAATTACTAGTACTTATCAAAATTTAGTATAAATTTATCGAAATCCACCATAAAATTAATATAGTCTAATATAAAATTAACGTAATCCACTTTTACAAAACTTTGGTTGTCAACATCATCTAATATAGATAAGCAAATCTTCGGTATTAAAAGAAAACCAATGTGTTTTGAGAGGAGAAAAATAAATCGTTTTACAATAATAACAAAACCACTACTATTGTTTTTTTAAGGCACCAACAAATTAACACCAGCACCTCTAACAGTAGTAGACCTACCCGAGCATTACCCAACTTAATCACCCTTGATGCCATCGCTTCGCATGCTCAAAAATCTAAAACAAAGAAAAGAAGACAACAATGTGTCAATTTAATTCATTCAAAAAATTTAATTTTGAAAGCAAATATCTAAATCAATTACAAGCCCATCAAAAACCATTGTTGTCTTGTACCGATTGATCACTAACTTTCTTGTAGATCGATCCGTGGGCTTGAAATTAGGGTTTTGCACGGGTCACCTTGTATTACACGATTTTCGTGTTCTTCTTGCTTTTTCTACAAGGCTTGATCTTTTTTCTCGCTTCTCGTGTCCTTTGCTCCGTATTCTTCCTCTTTTATCCCTTTACGCCGGTTAACCACTATAATGTAATAAATATTGCCACAAAAATATGTAAAAGATGCAAAATGTATGAATATATATAATTCTTAATGCAATATTACCTCAATGCGACTAATTGACCTAAAAATAATTTCTAAATGCTTTATAATTGTCTTAAATGAATGCTAATACGTATAAACTGCGGCCACATAATTGGTTACAAAACTAAGTGTACATGTAAATTCAAAGACAGATGAATTACATGCAGCAAGATAAGAGAAGATAGGAGAAACTTTTAAGTGAGTTAGACAATTAACAAAGGCAAATTTAACCAAATGAACTCAATTTACAATTCCAATAAAAGATTTTTTAAGTTTTTTGAACAAATTACAAATCCCAATCTTTATTCCATACCAAACATGCATTGCCAATGATGTTTTGAAAATCCAAACTTTCCATGACAAGAAAAAAAAGAAAAAAAAAATTAACAAACCATCAAATTCCGAGACCAATTTACGGAATGATACATCACACACAAGATAAATAAAAGCAGAAAATAAACGTGCTGCTGCGGCTATACCATGTCAAGCGGTTATGGTGATATAGCCCGTTTCAAATGCACAATTGCCTTATGGACTCTCTTTTGTCTTCACACAGGCTCAAGATTTCTTTATCTTTCTCGTTCAACTTTCTTTCCAATTCTTTGATCTTCTCATTCCTCTCACGTATCAGTTTCTCGAGGTTTCTCATTGGATCAATTCCCGACGTGTCATTTACCTTTTCACAAGTTTCCGTTTCCAGTATCTGCTGAGCGTCTTTACTATAAGCATCAATAGTACCGGATAACATAGTAATCCTCTCTTCAAGCAACTTTTGTTCTTGTCTCAACTTGTCCACTCTCTTCACTTTACTCTCTTCCTTCACGCCTAATAGTTGTTCCGTGATTCGCAGTTTCTGACTTATTTGTGGTTGCTTACCTTGTGAAGTTGATTTCATCATCTCTAATTCTGTCAGGAGTTCCTCTTTATCTTCTTCCAACCGATGAATTACCACATTTTGTGCATCAATTTGTTCTTGGAAGTATTCCGACATCTCATCTATCTTCTTTCGTGATAATTCGAGACTCTCCTCAGTGACTCGTTTTTCATCCTCGACGGCAGCCAATTTTTGTTTCAAGTCAGCCACCTCCGAAAGTGCAGTCTCTAACTCTTGTTTTAAGACAACTTTACCATTATGTTTGCCTCTTCTCATCGGAGAATCATCGGTATCAGAGCCTGAAGAGTCTGAGTGTCCATGAGCTTTCTTCCTTAACTCTTCAACGAGATGAGTATAACGTGCGTAAAGAGATTGGTAGCATCTGTGAAACTCATGGATAAGATCTGCGACTGCCCCTTTGCTATAATTACCATCCCCCTCTTTAAGAAGATTTAAAGCCCTCTTCACTTTGCCATCAATATCTACATTTATAATAAGTCAACATACATGACAACTTCGAATTAGAAAGGTGATTAGTATGAAACTAGCGAATTTTCTTGAAACATATAATGGAAAATATAGGAATTCTCAAAACCTAAACAATCTAAACATGCTTGTTAGCATTAATGAATGTCGAAATAGATCATCCATTTTCTTTTTTTTTTTTTTTTTTTTTAATGACTTTACAAAATTGATCTACTAGTATGCTAACCACATTTTTAAATATGACATGGTGGTTAATTTTATTGCCAATTAATTGATTCGTTACTTCAGTGCGTATTGACTCTAGATATCGTGAAGATAATATCTTCGCTGATTTTTTTTAGAATATATTCACAATCTAGATTAAAAAGGACATACATATCATGGAGAAAAAAAAAAAAACTAGAGCATAATATTTTGGATATATATCTTGATTAGAGTAAAAGGAATAACTTGGAGTTACTGTTTTAATTTGTTATATATGATACTAGCAGATTTTGTACATGTTGAACTGCCTACCAAAATAAATGGTTCATCAAAGTTTATATATGAGATTTATTCTTTCCTTTTAGTATAACTTACTAGATATCTAAATCCATAGATACTTTTTCAGTTCTCATCCTTTACTAGTTATCCTAAAACCATTATATTCTTAAAATACATTCAACAAACAACTCCCAAAACTTTCTTTTCTTCTTATCTTTTCGAATTTTCGGGTTCCGTTCTACTTTATGAAAAAACAAGTCCTAATTGTTTTATGCCCATCCTATAACAAAATACAAGACTCGCTACTGGCCATAACCACGAAACCATCAAGACCATTCGTGGTGAAACATACATTATGATCATGTGCAAAACCTCAAGATCAGTGATCCGATAATTATGGGGTTAAAGAAAATATTGCCGTATGTAATATCATTTATATGACGAGGACGGAGAGAAGTAATAAGGAACAAATGTATCACTGAAACAAACAATACTCCGTCCGTTCCATAATTTCTGTCACTTTTAAGAATTTTTTTACTCCATATTATTTGTCACTTTAGAATTCCAAAACTACATTAATTACATATTTTTAAATTATGCCCTTGTTAACTCTTCAACATTCTTTCATCATTAATTAATAAATAAGAGTATTTTGGTCTAACAATATTTATTTTCCTAAAATCAAGACATATTTATTGAGTTTCTTAAGATCTGTGCAGATGTGAAAAACGACTATTATATATTTAGGAACAGAGGGAGTATATATGAAGGTACTAGTGTTTTTAAAACGTACCTGTGTTGTCTCCGTTGAGTTCATTGGCTTTGTCGGGATCAATGTAGTCGCCGATAAAGGCTTTAAACTTGTGCCACCTATGCTTAGGCATTCCTTATTTCTTTGATTGCTATGTCTTAGAACAAGGTTTTCTTGAATCTTGATATATTCGAGAATGAACCCTTTGCTTCTGTGGAACCAACAAATGCTTTTGATTCCATACAAATAATGTGTTCGGAGAGTTGCTTTTTATTATTGGAATAACCAACTACCTAGTTGACATTCCAAATATTAACTTATTTGATATCGTAAGGTGATCAATCACCACAACGTTCACTCAATTAGGGCAGAGTTGAAGTTTGACAATTATTAGTTACCTATTTTTTATTTTATTTTTTTTGGGGAAATTATTTAAGAAAAAATTACGAAAACCCCCTGAACTTAGGCTAAATAACAAAAAACACCCTACCTATTCGTAATCACCAAAAAACCCCCGAGTTTTGTTTTTCGTCTTACACCAACCCCTTACAGTGTGACTTTTCACGATTTTTTTTTTATTCCAGGGAATAAAATTTACACAATTTAAGATATTTTCTTTTATTTCTCACATATTTAACAGAAGGTATAGTATTGTACACATTTTCTGTTAAAAAAATCGATCAACGATTAATTAGAGAGGGTTTTTGGTAATTATGAATATGTGGGGGTGGTTTTATTATTTAGCCTAAGTTCAAGGGGGGTTTTTGTAATTTACCCATTATTTAATGTATATTGCTAGACTTGTGATTTAATCTAGCTGGTCAACTAGAATTGTGGCCAACTATAAACATGCATAATACTGGCCACATTTCATTTATTTATTTATTATTATTATTTTTTTAGTTTTATTTTATTTTTTGTCTTAATAACATTATAACTAATTGCTATTGCAATAGAGTGCACGAATCATCACCAACAAAGACCAAATTCGAAACTAGAAAAGTACAAGTGGGATTAAAGGTTTAACAGTATAATAAATACCCAGAATAAAAAAAAAAAACAAACTAATATAATTGTTTGTCTGATGCAAAAGCCAAAGGTTGTGCGTAAAACGATAGGGAGAGCTAATTGGACTAGCCGTTTCATTATATATGCGTCAATGCTTCACTTTTCGTTAACTTCATTCTATAGAAAAAGACAGTTTGTTTTTCTTATTTAGTTCACCACATAAATATTTCTCGGATGCGAAAAGTCTTCTTCCCGTTTATTCTCTCGGTCTCTTTGTACTTCGAAAATGTTGCCGCCTCAATCAGTCGCGAATTCAAGATCTGAGTTAAGGATGTTCGAAATTTAATACAATAAAACAAGTAAATAAACAAATAGGAAATATTAGTACGAGAAAATTGAATTTTACCCTTTTTTATGTACAAATATATCGTTTAGAATATATTTTGTTTACTCAAAAAAAAAAAATAAAAACAAATTGATGTTGTTGTTCCATTTATTTAAAAACATTAATCATATCCTCAAATAAAATTTAACATTGTTTAAAGAATATTTTTCAATGTACAATATTCAAATCTATCTATTATATAAAAAGAATATTTATGTCCTCACTGAATGACATGTGGCAAATTCCTCATTTTCTCAAATTACTTAGTTGACATTCAATATATATATATATATATATATATATATATATATATATATATATATATATATATAATTATATATATATATATATATATATATATATATATATATATATATATATATATATATATATATATATATGACATTTTAATTAAAACATATCAATACAAACTTATGTTTGCAATGTCTTGTGAACTTAAATTTTTTTTTCATCCCCGAAATTTTAGCTAGCCCCTCTTAATTTTCAT